GGGCGGCGGGAGGGGAGCCACCTGGGGAAGGCAGGTGGGACCAGGCGCCGGGCTTCGCTGCGGGGAACCGGCCTGGAGCGCGGGCATAGGCCTTGTACTCCCCTGCCGAAGGCGGGGCGTTCGCAACGCGTCCTCCGGTTGGGGTGACGGCGGTATTTCCCGCATTCCCAGTGCCCTTCTTCAGCCTGTATGGTGGCGGTAGCAGCCACGTTCATCACAGGGAAGTTTAACCGTATAAGCAGCGAATACATAAGACAAGCGGTTCTGAATCCGCTTCGAACCTATCCATTTTGGGCATAAGGACCGACGCATCTTACCCATGCTGAGCGGCTGCATGTTTAGGGCCCGTTAGAGACCGCGTCCTCCTTTGCAAATGGGGTTTTTTACCAGCCTGATCAAATGGCAACGGCCGCCTCAGTGGAATGAAAATGCCATCGCTGCAGTCACCTGCTTGCAGCTTTATGGTATTCAAGAGATGTGATTAAGCTATCATGTTCACAGAGAATTTAGTCGGCTCACGAGCGCTGTAAATTAAATCCTAGGAGCAAGCTACTACTGTAAATGCTTCACTGCTTGATAACAATCTCCAGATCGCACCTGACGCTATTTTATTCTTGCACAAATGTTGAGATGAAGTTGGATTTGGCTCTGCTTTCCCATTAAATACCCTGGGACTGGGCAGCAAAGACTGTCAACAGACGCACTGGGTAGACATCATGAGAATCAGGCAAGTTTAGGGGTTTTGCCAAGTTCTATTTTGTGTTCATTTTTGATAGCTCTAAAAAGCCAGCACTGCAGTTAAAACATCTGGGCATACTTGGTGCCCAGTCTAGGATGAAATTCAGAGTGACTTCCCGGCTTTGGCGTTTGTCATACACGTAAGGTAGAGCCACCTCAGGATGACCCCAGGAATATTTAGACAGGTCAGTCAACGTAAAATTTAAAAATTATCTCTTTGACAATCCAATATTTCCATTAAGAGCTTACTTAGATGGCAAGATGATTTTATTGCAGTGACTTATTAAAGGTACTTAACATTAAAAATATTATTCATTTCATTCAGTTGCCCCACAGGTAATTCTTGTCATTACTGGTGACCTGTGGGACCCAGTAGGTCTCTTATGTGACACTGCTAAACCCAGAAGAAACATGCTGGCAATTAATTCAGTCATCGATACCGGCATTTATCCTGTCGGTTAGATCTGTGATTTACAGCGCTGATGTTCAGTTAGTAATCTCATAAAAAGTCTGACTCGAGAAATGCGTAATGCCAAGTGACAAAGGAGCGGCGTTTATAAATTGTCAGTCAACAAGAATCACTGCAGCAGGGCGGAAAATGAAGCTTTGGGCCATCGGGACAACCTAACAAACGGTATCTGCTCTGAACAAGGGAGCACTGCCGAGCCACAATTTCAAGTCATTGCATCACTGGTGACTATGACATGTAGCGTGTAGCTTTCAGCACGCTTCGGGCTTCTCCAAGAAGTTCTCCCTGGCCAGAAAATGATGGAATATGCTTACAGCACCTGTGACCGTTTCCAGTTTTCTGGGAAGTGCAGTTGCAGAGTTACGACTGCTGACATTTATGTGCGCGCTTCTGAGCTATTTGGACGGCTGCTCCGATCCCTCTGGCACTCGGGTGTCTCACTAACGTGAATGAATTTATTCTCCTCAAAACAAAAATCCATTCTTCTCATGGGACAGGTAGGAAACTGAAGCACAGCGAGACTGAGCCTTGCCAAAAGTCACCTGGAGAACAGCGTGGGCGGCCGAGCTTAAAATCCAGCTCACTTCTGTTAGCCAGGGGGCCACATCTCTCTTTGCCACCTACCAACTTCCAGAGGGTTGCGAGTAGGTTGTGAACACATGTGTTGCACCCTGTAAGTAAGTTTTGTGAAAATAACAGTATTGAGTCTGCAAACTAAACACTCAGAGGGAAGGCAGCGTGTAACCCCTCTCCTTCCACACACATGGAGTCAGTCAGAGTCTTGCTCTACTTTGCTCCTTGCAAGGAAGAGCCTCGCTCTGTGCCTCATCTGACCTGCTCTGGGGTGAAACAGTTCAAGAACCTACTGTCTGCTTCATCTATGGTAGAAACTGGATGGTGAATGGTGAACGAGGCTTGCGAGAAGAGGCAGGCTGATCTATGAATAAGCAGGCTGAATGCCGGCTCGGCCGGGATTGCACTTACACTAACCACCTGAACACTAACGCTATCGTTCTGTGACCAGCTTACACTCAGTGACAAAAGAAGAAATCCAGCCTCTCTGTAGCTCTTTGACTTTTGCCAGCACAAATGTTTGTGATGTAGAGCGGTGAATCAAATAATGGAAATTATCTGAGCTAAAAGTCACTCAGGAAAAAAACCCTGGTGTTCTGCTGGATCGGTTGCTCAGTCACTGTGCAGCTACCGGAACACTTGTGGGCAGATCAGGACGACAGCAGGAACGCGTGACTAGGGAAAGGAGAGCTAGGACGGCTTCTTCCAGCCGCAGAGCCAGCTTATGGCAGCTTAAAGCAATCACGAAGCTACAGTGGTGTTTGTCTCCTCCTCCTGCCATTTCAAGCTGCCTAGCCCTAGCTGTGTACTCAACACCGGGGTCATCTGGGTTCTTCCCCCAATTGCCAGGACCCAGCAGCAAGCCCTGGAAGAACAAGAGAGAGGTACCAGCCGTGGCTTGAAGCAGCTACTGGAGATCCTGCCTGGGTCTAGGCTGGAAGCAGCATGAACTTTCAGGGAATTGGGCTACAGTTCTCCAGCAAGGTCTTGCTGAACCCTTGGATTCTCGCAGATTTCCACTTGGAGCACTTGGAAGATATTTTAAGAAGGTGAGAAGAAGCATGTCCTTATCACAGCAGCCCTCTCTGACAAAATTCAAGTTTCTTCTCTGAAGCACACAGGCACTGGGGTTTCTCCAAGGAAAAATGAACACCACCTCTTTATTACCCAGTCAAATTACATGCTATTCTCTGGTCTTTTGGCCAAAGGAGCAGAACCACTGTGAATGAACTTGCCCCACAGGTTTTGAAGATTAGCTACGTTTTAACAAACTGGAAACACTAACAGGAGATGTTGAGAAACTAAGAACATCAGTATCATCTACAATTACCTCTTCCATTACTCATATAAGCAACTTCAAGCATTAATTAAAGCTGTAAGCTAAATAATACATTTCACGATGTCCTATATATAGTCTTTTTTTTGATGTACAAAATGTCATATTATGGCATGCCAGGAGTTTAAAATGTATCCCTTATTTAAAGCAGGGTGGATTTTAGGTCATTTATCTTAATCTATGCGTATTATTACTAAACCATGCTTCCCTGCGTAAGCTGATTGGGCAGCGGGATATGGTCATTAACCTAGAAATTCATTTTTCAAGAATACCAAGTTGTTACTTACAGTTACACAACCCTGATGTCAGACCACAATTTGGCCACCCTCCTGCTTTCTCCTCTGCATCAGGTAGGCACTTTAATTGTTTGCTTTCCTATCAAAATGTTTTCAGCATGCTGAAGCCCTCAACATTAGCTAGGGGACAGAGCTATGAAACTCCCACTGAAATAACTGTCAGCTGATGGGGAGGCCTGGTGTCTTCTGGTAAGCTTTGCATACCTCACTGACAACATGCCGAAGAGATAAAACCAGAGATGGTGTAGTACCATCGGTACTAAGCTCTTTTCCTACCAATGGTTTACTTAAAATTGCCTAGTGCAGGGGAGGGAGCCGTCGGCTGCCAGCCCTCCACCAGCTATCCCTGCCCTGTCATCCCGGCCAGGAGGCACACTAGGGGAGGAAGGAACATATTGGAGTGGGAGGGAGAGAC